TGTCTGTCTGTTTGTCTGTCTATCTGTCTGTGTGTGTCTGTTTGTCTGTGTGTCGCCGGACCATACGCAGTTTCATTGGACGAAATGTGAGGGATTTGCGAGACACGATTGGTCCGTTTGGTTTTCCACGGTGGTTGCCCCTGGCAACGGGTAGCGACGCATTCGCTGCGGGGTGGACGCCATTTTTAATTCCCGTTAAAAATATGCACACGCATTAACACGCGACTCTGAGGTAAATTCATCAAAGTTTCACGTCCTCTTCACTCCCCCCCCACCCCAATGTGTGCAATTACTATTATAGGGTCGGTAGATAATACAATTATAGCGATTAGACAGTATTATTGTAGCGCGGGGGGGGGGGGGGGGTTAACGGCCCCAGTACCCAGCCTCAGCCGGGTGGGCAATCTAGGCGAGGCCGGAGGCTCTGCACGGGACTAGGCCTCGACACCCCACCACACTATAGGCCGTACATATTACTGCACAGCGGCCGAGGAGATCGTGGCTGGGGGGGCAGGGGTAGCAGCCCATCTGTGTATATATGTAAGGTTATTAAAAAATATATTTTTCACCCGGGCAACGCCGGGTGCTTCTGCTAGTAGGTATATAAAATACTTTCGTCTATTGCACATTATATTACAATTATTAACGCTATGAATCGTTCACAAAAAAATTACATTATACACTTGTTAATATAATGATGGAGATAATTGTAATGTTAATTATGAAGGTATAATACGGGATGATAAGCTTTTGTGTGTGTTTACAACAGATGTAAATTACTGCTTCAGTAAATTACTGCGTCAGTAATTTACATCTGTAGTGTGATTACCCACGTGTGTTGGTGCGTGTGTGTGTCCGTGTTGTACGTGTGTGTGGTTAAGCGATAGCTACGAACCCAACGACCGAGTTCTAGTCCCGCCCGCTCACGGCAAAACACCAGTGACGATTTTCTGAACCAGTTATGGGTCTCCCCTAGGTCGACTCAGCCTCAAATGAGGGAAACAAAGGGGGCCGGGCGTGGTGCTGGCCACCCACTTGATCGTGTGCCGTTCCGGCCTTCATAGCCGGTCGCGAACAGCACTTGCCCCAACAGTCTGTTCAGGCTATACGGAGGATCTTTGTCTTGTACTCAAGAAATCCGAGGGCGCTCACATTAAATTGCCTATGCCAATATGCCAGTTGCGCACGGCAATGGGGGGGCGGGGGGGGGGGGCTGGTTGGTTAGGGGAAGAGGTTGCCCCCCCCCCTTTTCCCCCACACCCGCTCCCCATGACCTCCCCGTCTCCGGTCCCCGTGCATGTATGTATGCGTGCATAGGGCGGTGCGCCTCGAGAGCCTTTTGTGAGACCTGAAGGCAGCCTGTAATCTGCTGCAATTATTTGCTCCTCCAATTTTCCACCGCTGTTCATGCCGCGCTCTTTTCTCCCCCCCCCCCAACCTCTTCTTTCTTCTGTCTTGCTTTCATGCTTTCATGCCGAAACCAAAAGCCCGTCTTGCAGATGCTGGAGGCGTTGTCGCGCCTTCGGAATAAGCGAAGCATGTACGAATTAATGCACCACAGAGACACACATCGATAGAACTTAACGCGTGCCCGCATTTGTACGTGCGAGGTCACGTAAGACACGATGGTCCTGTCCTCGACCATGCTAACGGCCTCAGCCGTCAGCAGTGGCTCTTACGCTGTTCGTCTGCAACATCTCAATCAACTGCGTCGCTATGCATGCCTCCTCGCTCACGCGCTTCTGTTAGGTATAACACATTACCTGTATGTATGTTGACATTCTTTCGCACCGTACGTAGCCCGATGTGCTAATCGGAAGTGCGTTAGCAGTGGCGCACACGCACAATGAACAACAAACTTAACGCATTCGTCAATAACGTTGTGTGTGGCCTTAAAAGGAAAAATAATTGTACAATAGGCGACTTTTTTGCCAAAGGCCCTTCTTCTTCGCACGTAAATACATGTTTGTTAGAATAGATGCAATGCTCGTCTTATCTTGTTTTGCCTATATTGCACTGTACGTTGCGTTTCTTTGCTATCGACGTCTACCTTGGAAAATATGTTGTTTGTGAGCTCTCCCTTGGGTTTAGATGAAGGTTATCTGATTATAGAGAGGTGAGTTGAGTGTTAATTATCTCTGTCTCTCTCAGTCGGCAGTACGTATTAATTCTCGCACGATGGGTGGGTTGCTTTCTCGCCTCTGCTGATTATTTATTTTACCAGGCAGAAACTTACAATCAATGTCTTCCACTTGTCTAAATTCCCCACTGTGTGCTCGGCACACGAGGGCGTGGGTGGCCAAAACCACGCCCGGCCGCATTTGTCTCCCCGGTGCTGATGTTTACATCACATGTCAGGTATTTATTTGAGGCTGAGTCGACCTAGGGGAGGCCCATGACCGGTTCAGATAATCGTCACCGGTGTTGGCCGTGAGCAGGCAGAAATCGAACTCGGGTCGCCGGGTTCGTAGGGCAGCGCACTAACCGCTACACTCCCGCTCCCCACGCTGAACAAGAAGCAACACCACTTGCACAGGCACTTAACACCACACCTGCGACCACACGAGATGAGATATTGCGGGAGCGACTTGGACACCTTGATGCTGAGATCAGCATGGACACGGAGGCGAGTGGACAGCACGGGGGACAATCGTGAGGTGGACCACGTAGAACAACTCCGAACCCGACTTTCCACCCAAGTCGGCAGCTCAAGATGCAACCTGGCCACGTGGCAGTGACTTCACAGAACCAGAGAGCCGCTGCGGGTCACGCGGCGAGAGGTAAATGGCCCTCCTGCACTGTGCAGCGTCTTGCAGCAGGCGACTTGCTAGCGTTGACACGCGCTCGCCACTTGGGAGGACGTTTGACTTTGGTGGACAGACACGAAAAAAAGAAGTCAGAGTGAAAAAAAATAAACCTGCTTATTTACGTCTAGATTCGAAGCTTTCGTGACTGCAGGAATTACTATTTGGTTCTTTCAGTAGAAGTCACGTAGAAAGAAATTAAATGAAATAATAATAGAATACGACGTCTCGGTTTTAGCAATCTTTGGAAGAACGTAATCAAGCAGGTGGGGTGTTGACTCTTGTGTTGGCCGTCTCTCTGTGTTGTATTGCATTGTATTTCCAAGTTTACTATGTTTGTTTTTTCTCATTCATGTGTACCTGATGATGGTTGCTTGTGTTGCAATCGAAACGTCGCATTCTATTATTATTAAATTAAATTTCTTTCCACGTGACTACACCGAAAGAAACAACGATTTATTTACGTCTTCTTGGTTCTTTCGGTAAAGCCACGTAGAAGGGAAAAAATAAAATAATAAAAATAAAACATAATAAAATCTTGTATTTTATTATGTTTAAAAACAATTTTATTATGTTTTAATTTTATTATTGTATTATTTCCCTTCTACGTGACTTTACCGAAAGAACCAAGAAGATGAATCCCTGCAGTCACGAAAGCTTTAAATCGAAATTTATTTACGTCTGTTATAGAGTTGATAACTTTGACAGTCAGTTTCTTAATCCACTGCTGGATGCGTTCCTCTACCACGAGATGCGAATTGTGGTGGGGGGGGGGGGGGGGGGACTGATCATAGATGGTGTAGCGGTTCGCGCACTGCGCTACGAACCCGGCGACCCGAGTTCGTATTCCCGATCACGGCCAACACCAATGACGGTTGTCTTAACCGGTCCTGTGCCTCCCCTAGGGTCGAATGAGTAACTGGTGCGGTGTGTAAACATCGCTACTGGGGAGACAAAGGCGGCCGGGCGTGGCTGTTGGCCACCCATCCCCTCGTGTGCCGTGCTGGCCTTCATCGGTGCTTGCTAGCAGCCTTCCCCCAAAGGTTATCCGGGTGATCGTTGTTTTTGACGTAGAGTACAATCATTAATGCTCCTGCAATTCTCCCTGCTGTCCACGTCAATTGTGGTTAACCGTATTCTGTACAAAACGAGCGAATAAAGTGGACATTAATGACAAAGTCGTCATCAAGTGCTGTCGTTAAATAGTACAGAGCCTTTGTTAATCCACTGCTGGACTGAGGCTTCCAAGCAATGTGCCGGTCATGTGAAGGTGGCTTTACCATACTTCACCATGCGGGTCACTGCGGGTTGGTGAAGGAATCTTACAGGACCCGTTCCAATATCAGTCGCCACTACTGATGCGCTATCATATACCATACAGGGACATTGCCCGAAACATCGCAGATTATATAAATGTTTATATCAACAACATAATAGCACATCAATAGTACTATGAAGAAGGACCATTGCCCGAAACGTCGCTTCATATTTATTGGTTTAAGGCCAGTCACGTTCTTACCCGCTTCTACTGGACATCTGTGGAAAAAACAGAGCTTCATAGCTCATCGGATTCCTCCTGCAATATCAATACATAACACATTCTTGCGGAGGGAGCTGGTAGGAACGTTGGGTTGCTCGGTCAATGGCCAGGGTCAACGGCGGCGTGGTGTATTCCGCAAATATGTCCGACTGTGAGGGCGGGCACAAGCCGGCGTGAGTAGGTTAAACGTTGAGTTTTATAAGGGCACCACGGGGTGACCAGCCCCTCCCCACACAGCCCCACCCCTCCCACCCCCCACCCAGCCCCACCCTCCCACCCAGCCCCTCCCCACCCTCCCCACCCAGCCCCTCCCCACCCTCCCCACCCAGCCCCTCCCCACCCTCCCCACCCAGCCCCTCCCCACCCTCCCCACCCAGCCCCTCCCCACCCTCCCCTCCCCACCCAGCCCCTCCCCACCCTCCCCTCCCCACCCAGCCCCTCCCCACCCTCCCCTCTCCACCCAGCTCCACCCCTCCTATTTTTGTATGCACGACCGACGGACGGACACAACAATCCCCTGTGGGCTGGTGGAACCAGGTGGCTCCTACCGGTATTAAAATTCAGCGTTGATTGACGCGTGTGTCTATTTATACCGCGTGACGTCATCGCAAAGTCAGCATCGGGGAGGGGGGCGAGGCTGGGCTTGGGGGGATACATGACGTCAAAGAATTGCGACTGAGTGACGTAACGCGCTGAAGCAGAAGCAGCAATGGCCGATAAGAAGCCCGCGGTGGACCTCGGAGTGCTGGAGGAAGACGATGAATTCGAGGAGTTCCCAGCCGAAGGTGCGTCGTCGGGAAAATAAACAAAAGATAATGAGCCGAAAGCTTTCGCTCGACGTCCACGAACAGTTCATTTTTAAACGAACACAGCGAGACGGAGTTCACCCTGCCGATCCGTCCGCGATGCGTTTCGGCTCGTCATCGTGGGTAGGCCTCCGCGAAGCCTGCGGCCTTGCCTGGATTCTCAGCGGAGACGGTGTCAGTGGTGAAGGCGGCGGGTGGGGGGGGCTCCCGATGGAGGCCGCGTCGATGGTTTCCCCGCCTGATCTCTTATTCAGAATACGTATTTGGAGGAATCCGAATACGTATATTTATACTGGAGGAATCCCATGAGCGATGAAGCTGTTTTTCACAGATCTCAACATTGCCGATGAGCAAATCGGCCAGAATTCGCTCGATCACGCGGAGTCTCGTAAGCTAAGCAAGTGTGAGTCTGGATAATGCTTGTAAGGGTGACTTGCGTACGTAATAGGTGTTATAGGCTGGTGCTGAGCGGCGTTGTGCGCCGCGGAGGACTGCAGCAATATCCACGACGTTATATTTATTTTTCACGTCTGCTGCCCGCCTAAATAGACCGGCGTGAAGGTTCAATAATTCCGTGTTCATCATAGACCAGCGTCATCCGATCACTGACGGACCGTTTGTGGGCACTGTTGCTGAAATCATCAGCATTGCACTGCTCCTCAAAACAGACGACACTGCAGCCAGATCGGTGAGGCTCGTTCGCTCTTCGACCCCAGACGCAGTTTGCGTGAAGTATGGTCTAAAAACAAGCAGCTCCCACGACCCGCACGGCGAGAGGGGGTTTCTTAGCCAGCAGTTGTTCGCGACAGAAGGACCATGCATGTGGAGCAAACGCAATGTTTTCATATCGTTCATAGTTTTCTGATGCGGCATAGGCGCACGCCTATGATTCGGTACTCTTTGAGGCTTCAATTGGTGCCGTGAGGTGGGCCAGGAGATGTCAGTAGAGAAAGTTGGTTCTTGAAACCTGTGTGGAGCGTCGAGTTTCATCTCGTACGCGTGGGCTTTCTCCGTGTACTGTACTTGGAATTTCTCCCACACACAGAACGCTCAAATGGAATTTGACAAATATTCAATTCGTGACCTTCCTGAAAAAAATTCCTTTGAGGATCTAGTTTGGCGTACCAAACGAAATTAAGTACTATACTTTTGCAGTTCATTGAGAAGGTATTGTACGTTTTTGTGTTGAGATGTGTAAGCGTACTTGGGGGTAGGACACCGCTTAAGGTAACAGTGGACGAGGCTGGTGACAGAATAGCAGTCAAAGCAGAGAACATGCCCAAGAGTATCGATCGGTGAGATGGTGATATAATTTCGTGTACAAGAGTGAGTGGTTTTGGCAGTTGTAGGCCTTCATCCAGAGTATATAGACAGTGTCATTTTTTTATCGCAAAGGCTCTTGAACCATGTCCGGTATTCACTTTAATTTCAGCTTCTACCCATTATTGTAGCCCAGTATTCAGTGTATGTATATTTATTACCTTTTGTTTCTGTATAAAAAGCAGCAAAGGACATTTTATTTTCACGCACACATTATCCGACACCGTGTGTGCAGTTGTGTAAAATCATCACCGTCGCTCTTAGAATGGTTATACAATTGTTTTAGATGGAAATGATAAGTGTACTATGGTGACAGGAGATGTGCAATGGTTTCAAAAGGTAACAATAGGTATACTGTTGCAATAGCCGCACTATGGTAGACTGGCTTCCGTCACAGGAATGTCGAATTTCCACCACTGGCTTGAGGCCAAACGTGGATATTCGCACTTTTTCATGCTCATACATGACAAAAACACTTTTTACCAAATCGTTAAACTTACCAGACAGAAAAGTCTGTGCTGGCTGGAAACAAATACCACAGTACACAGTAAAGATGGTTTATATACGGCAAAACCATGGCAGATGCAGATACCTGATGTACAAACAGACCATACAACATAAGGACGCAATGCCCGATCCACAAATACGGCGATACACTTTGCTGATCCTGACGCAGTTATCTGGCTTGACCACCGGGATGTGAACTTGTAGTTATTGCTCCTGCATCTCCATCAGCTATACGAAAAAATAAGATGTTTAGCAGAAGGCACAATTGTAACCATAAGTTCCGTCCTCCCAGCATGCTTTGCATTGCCAATTGGTATCAACTTGTTTTTTGCTACTAAGATTCAATATACTGGCCATATTATATTAGGCAGTAGTATGTCAATGACATAACTGGATACTGGTTTTGTTCTTGTGTGGAATCATCAATACACCATAGCCTTGTGCCTTAAGTGCTTTATATGGGCAAGCCCTCCCAGAACACTGGACTGCTTGGCACTCCATAACGGCGACAATGAACCAATCCTAACGCTAAATTTCGATTTAAAGCTTATATTATTTTATTACGTTTTATTTTTATTATTTTATTATTTCCCTTCTACGTGACTTTACCGAAAGAACCAAGAAGATCAATCCTAACGCTTTATATAAATAGGACTAAATACGAAAAAAAAAGTTTCGTGCAGGCTGGAAGCTAATAAATAAGTGAAACACTGACAATTATATGTGCATTTACAAGGCACTTAGCCTATGGGAAAACAAGTAAATAATTTTCATTGTTGGCAAGGCCTCTGTGCTCATTGTGTTCAGTGATCCATCATGGCTGCATTTGTTGGGACACCGGAAAATGTTTGTACACCGGCAAATGAAATGGCTAAATTAAGGGTGACTTCTTTCTGGAAAAGAGACCGCTTCTCTCAATGAGCTATTATTAGGTCATCTAAATTATTTACTGTCAGTGCCCGGCAAACCTTAATTTTCAGATGGGAGTAATATTTTGGTAATATCCCTAATGCAACACAAAGGGAATTCTTCTACAGAGTAGCATTGTTACCTTTCAATTTGTGGTTTGCACACTGCGCGATGAACCTGGCAACCTCCGTTGTATTTTTGGCCATGGCTGACATCAGTGGCGAGTGATATCTGAAATGGTTGTGGGCCACCGCTGCACTGACCCGCGCTGGTAAGTGTTGTAAAGTTCCGTTAAACAATCCCTTTGGCTGACACGGCATGGAGTAGGCCTTCAGCTAGCAGTGGATTGTTAGAGATGAACATCACGTTCTAAACTAATTCTCACCCTGCCGGGAAACTTGGTAAATTCCTTATTGAGGATTTTTGTTCTATTTGAGAGAAAACCCAGAGTGCCAAGAGAAAGAGCCCACATTGCCTCCAGTTGGCTAAACATAGGCTGTCCTCGCATTTGCTTATGCTGGTAATATTATTGTACTTCTCTAAGTGATCTTTTACGTCATCTATCCCATGATTTATTGGGCAGGTTATTTCACTCCACAAATCTGTAGTTACCGATTGTATATGGAACCACTGCTATACGTGTCCCATTATTAGTTTGATGATTCACGGCTTGGAGCTGCCCAGAGCTGCACACCAAACGAGACATCACTTGCAGGTGCCATCAAATTTAAAACACCTTTACGAGCAAACGAATATGCATAACACCCACATGACGCCATAACTTGCAAGCGCAGCTGCAGAAGTGGGCAGACCTGCATATGTTTCACTTCGACTACTACAAAGATAATTATTATTGCGATATTCCAATATCAACTTTGCAGAAGCTCCCCGATGTGTTAAAAATTCAGCTGCTCGGCTAGTTGGCAGAGTAAATTAATTGAGCACATGCCAGTTCTACATTTGCATTAGCTTCCAGTGAAAGCACACATATGGTTTTAAAGTCATGATGCTGACGTTTAAGGCTGTCGGCGAGTTTGCACTTGCACGTGTCTCACTGCCTGGCTATCGCACCGCACAAACCAACTCTGGCGCCGCTGCAGACAGTGGACTCTTAGCTCCCTGCACTGCCGCCAACACTCCTGGCCAACACTGGTAACGGAGCTGTTGTCAAATAGGCGACAACGGTACAACCTCGGTCGTCCAAGTTTGTTTTGATTTATTTGCAGCCTTAGAAAAATGTGGCTCTTTTTACAAGGACATTTCAAATGTGGAGCATGGTTTATGAGATGACTGTGCTCATCGGATGATCAAGGCCTCCGTATGCCGTCCAGTTTGGAGGAGCTATTTAACCATACTTCCCTATTCACTCCAATGCGGGTTGGTTGAATACATTACCTGGGTGAATTTGTATCATCGACAGGTGGGTGTCATGTAGACAAATGGTCAATTAATATAAGGAAGGTGCGGTATTGTGTTTGTTTGCTGTTATTTTTAACAGTTTCCTTTTAAATCCCATCATGCAGACTGCCTCATGCATGTGGCCAGTATGCCGTGACATAATTTGTCAACGAGTAAATTATGCAAATATGTCGGACTTCTTCTTTTGCACCCAACGTAGCCAACCTTGCTAATCGTGGGAGGAAGGACAAATGATGTCACGTTTTAACATTTTGTATTTGTACGTTAACCATTATGCCAACATACTCCCACAGAGTTTATATTAATTGACCGCAATGACAAGTACATTATGGCCTGTGCAGAAGAGTTGGGGGTGCGAGAGGCCGTGCTCGTGTTTTGCCGTTGCAGACTGGACGGGGCTGGACGAGGACGAGGACACGCACGTGTGGGAAGACAACTGGGATGACGACAACGTTGAGGATGATTTCTCAAATCAGCTGAGGCAAGGCTTGCTTACACCTCAGTCAGTCCAGACCCCACTACGTATGTATGTATGTTGAACTTCTTTTGCAACATACATAGCCAACTGTGATCATTGAAGGTGCGGGGGAAGTACAACAAACTCAACTCAAAAAGCAGTTCTAAAGAAGGGTTTTCAATATAGTTGCTCTAAAAGTGCATAGCTCCAGTGGCTTCCTAATATCGGAAGGAAGACAGTATTCGTAAATACAGGCATCACACACCATTATTTTTCGACTATTTCTATTCTCCATTGCAACCACAGCAGCGCTTATTGGCGTAGCGTGGTTGGAACGGGCTCTTGGTGCAAGCAATAAAGTGGGCCCCCCATCTGCTACCCCTTCACTCCCCTGCCCACGTATAGCCTTGCACCCAAGTCAGTGCAGTCTACATGTGTTACTCAGAGAATCATACGAGCCTGCTTACCCACACTTGCACGGTAATCTAATAAAGTTATGTTCAACACTTTACCGATAGGTATGCAACTTGCAGTACCATAGCACAGATTAATCGGTAACACATTTTTGTGCCAGTATATATGCACTGCTGTATTTTTTGGGGGAATTAAAGAGCCCATTATTTTGACTCTCTTCCACGAGCTTTTGTGAAGCCTGTTGCATGAATATCATTGATTTGAATGTGCATGGCAACTGAATACAGTGGTACCTCGGTATACGTCATTAATTCGTTCCAGAAGGTAGGACTTATACCGAAAATGACGTATACCAAACGAATTTTTCCCATAAGAAATAAAGGGAAAGGAAATAATCCGTTCCAGAGGAAAATAAATGATATTTTATATAGCATATTATACATTAATGGAGTTGTATATAATAATTTAGACACTAATTACTAAAATGCATACAGAAGTCACGTGACTGCGCTGCTGCCAGCTGCGCTGGTCACGTGGCATGCCTCAACCCGGGGCTCCACCCTCCATGGGGGCAGCCCCCGACGCCCCCCCCTCCTCTCCCCCACGCCCCCAACACCCCCCCTCCTCTCCCCCAGCGCCCCCCCCCCCCTCCTCTCCCCCCCCCCCCCTCCTCTCCCCCCCCTCCTCTCCTCCCCCTCCTCTCCCCCCCCTCCTCTCCCCCTCCTCTCCCCCCCCTCCTCTCCCCCCCGCCCCTCTCCCCCACGCCCCTCTCCCCCACGCCACCCCCCCCTCTCCCCCACGCCACCCCCCCCTCTCCCCCACGCCACCCCCCTCTCGCTTTGTTTCAGTCGTGAACGGGGGGGGGGGGCAGCTTACACTGGTACTGTACGCGATGACTCATCCCGACCCCATACAAGTTCTAGCAAACGCGTCGTATCCCAAGCAAGACGTCGTATCCCAAGGCATTTTTTCCTCCAAAAAAAACACGACGTGTACCAAATTCGACGTATTCCAAAGTGGTCATATACCGAGGTTCCACTGTACAACATAACCTCTAGATGTGGTGCACAGCAATATCCAAACCGAAATTAAAACAAATGTAAAGGCAACGTTGGTTATGAAATCAGCCTTTAAATAACCCGCAAAAGTGACGATTTTACATCTCAATTTCTGAGTTCGTTTTTTATTGAAATAATGGCAATTTGTAAAGAATTGCATTATTGGACACGTGTCAAACGGATCTGTCAAGGTGAGGAACTTTTTTTGGCAATTCCTATGTAATAAACTGACAAATGCAACCTCCAGGCATCCTTGGTAAGCAGAAAATGGCAGTAAATCTTTACAGGTGATGGGGAGTCCTGGCTGAGCCAGTAGGAACAAATGACTGTAATCTGCCCCCGAGAATTGGCAAGATTTCTCACCTCTGTGCAGAGCAGCCATCTGCTGTAATGGCCTCCATTACATTAGAAAGTCAATGGATGCATGAGGCTTTTATGGATCTGGGAAACTGTCAAGCCACCACCATGCTTTACTATTAGCCTTCTCGAGAGCACCCATTTTGAGGTTATAATAACGCATGTTATGTCGTCTCGTATTTATTTATCTTGCACCTTGGCGCGTGCACGACCACGAGTGAAAATGCAACGGTTAATGACGATGACGCTGCTGTCTGTTATGCGGTCGCTATTAGAGGAACGCTTGGCTTTTCACGCGCTTGTGGGAAAGCTGCGAATGCCGGGTGCGCTCGTGTCCCTCTGAAGCACTGCTGGTGGAACATTGTTTCTGTTGATGCTGCTCAGTCGTGCAAAAGAGCTTCGCTCAATGTGCGTTACAACCCGCGAAGAAAAGGGGATTTGTACGGGGTGTGGCGAGAAGGGAACATGTCGTCGGACGTGCAGCACCTGCCTGCTTTTTTTTTTAAAGACTTGCACAGCAGCTGTGCGGTGGGTTTTACAAAATTTGCCACAGCTGACTCATCCAAGCATCCAAACACTTGCTTGATTGAATAAGCTGATGAGCTATTCTGTAACTGGATGGGCTCCTGAAGCAATCGGGGCTTGTTTATAAACAGGCGCATTACCTGATTGTGCTTTGGAGCCATGTGCAGACATGAATTAGCTTAACGCATGCATTAAACGTCACTGATTTTTTTTCTCTTGTCATACATAGTTAAAATAATGTGGCAATGTTCAATACAGGGCATGAGCAATATTTTCAAGCCTTTTAACAGTCATACATTATTTACTGCTACGATATTCCAACACTTGCATTCTATTGCGCATTTGATATTCCTTTATCCCCTTTGACAGACGTTCTAATTGTTGTTTTTATCCTTCACTGCTTTCAGGACCGAGCTTGAAAAGCACGGACATAAAATGGAGACCTCGTAGAGAAGGAACGACGTTTGTGGGGGGGGGGGGGGGGCTGAGAGTCTTCAAAGCCCCCCACACAGTTTGGCTTTTGCATTAAAATGCCTCCCGCGACCGCTGGGTTTTTTTTTTGTTGCCATGACCTGTTCTTGGAGTCGTCACGGAAGAGAAAGGGGATGAGTTGTGGAAAGCAAACGTGAAAAATGGTCACCATTCTCCAGCCATGTTGGATTTGTTTAATGTCCCGTTGGAATTTTCACCGTTCGGAATAAAGTTTAATATTTTGTTAATTTGTTATTGTGTGTTTTAGTGTTGCCAAAATAAACTTAACTGTTCCACTAAAAAAAAACAATGTTGTTTATAATTCACACATCTGGCCATGTGGTTTTATAACCGATTATTCACGTACCGGATTCGCATTTAGAAGGAAGAGAAATAATGCGACTTGTTATAGGATATATTTATATGCTATTGGGAAGCAGGATACGTTTATACTGTGGCAGTTTGTGTGAACATTTTTCAAATATGTTTGATTGCATAAATGGCACTTCATCAACATCTGCCATAATTCACCACTGGATGTTGGTCTCCCCACACCTTGGCCATCTTTCAACGACACGTATTCGGTACTTATTTAAATTGACATGTAATCCCAGCACCGGGTTGAGAAGTGGAAATGTAGTTCGGAAGGGAAATAACCAGATCTTTAACCCACATCGGCATCACCCCCTAACTCGCAGTGTCCCTAAGGAGAGTTGTCGAGAGAGGTAGTGCCAAGGCTACAAACAGGGGGAGCGGTTAAGCGAGGTTAAAACAAAGGGCATTGCAGTGAGGTGTTTCTCCATAATAGCTCTGTGAGGCTGCTATCATACAGTTTTTGCGTTTTGCTGTAATCTCTTTTGGCAAAGCCCGTGGGAACGGTCAGACTGGAGCAAACTTTAACAGAAGCCTTTAAAGAAAAGTGCGGGGTTGAGGAGGGGAGCTGGCGGCTGGGGTGTAATCAAGGTGCAGACAGACAACCGTGCCAGGTATTCGGGTGGGCTGGCCCGTCTGTTTCAGCCACTTGGGGTTGGGCAGGGGTTATAGGGGGTTTGGAGACACGGTGGCTGGTTGAACACGTGGAAGATGACTGCACGCTGGAAGGGGTTGTATTGCAGGTTGTTTTTTGGGGTGTGGAGGGCGAGCTGCTTGGGGAGGCAGAAGATAGCACAAGCGCGTCTTTGCTGGACAGGGTCAGCCTGTCTATGGGCTGGACAGGAAACAATAATTGCTCGTGGAATGCTGGATGGGCGCTCGTTCGCTTTCCTGTGTTAACGAATCAAAACAAGGCCGATTAACATCTCGAAGTCGCCAAGATAACAAAGGACATCAACCCGCGTTGATGGGTCTAAGTTCGTACAGTGATGGACAGATTGTGTTCTAAAGCCACTAACAAATTGTGGAGTTGATTCATCTTTGGCCATTTTAATCAACTGCTAGATGAAGGCCTCGCCAAGCCACTGCCACCTATCACGTCCCCGCTGATCTCGTCAATCTTTCTCCGCAATGGAGCCCTCTCATCTTTACTTCTTGGGAACTGATTAATAATACAGTACATTATTCTGCCCAGCTTGGATTTAGCGATTGTGCGAACCCGGGTTCCCATTATCTTGAGTAAAGGTGACAGTTAACAGACGTGAAGCTCATTCGTAATGGAAGCTCATTGCTCAGCAGTTGTCAACGTCAACCTGGGATCTGCCTCATCGCAGTAAAACCTCGAGTCCCAATGCAATTTTTCTGGAGGGCCCTAAATTGCAATGTTTGGTTAATTTATTTACAAGAGTGTTGATTATGCGTGTATACATTACATGTGCATACCGTGTACAGTACATATATTACGAAGACTATAAAATGTTCACGCTATCACCTGCATAATTCTGGTAACAATGGAATCCACCTAGTCTTGAGACTTTCAAGAGGGTCCTGCATTGGGATGTTTTGGCCAATTCCATGACTGAGTGTCTTCACGTGGGAGTAAGCTGGGGGATCCAGATAAGCCCCATCAAGAGTACGAGGGGGGATAAAAACGAATACATTTATGCGAACAGATGGATTTAGGAGCCAATTTGCAGTGCTGTTGCCATCATGGCCACCTCAGGCCAGCGCTTTTGGGAGTTTCACAAATCTCTGATCCACCACCAATCTCCACAACTGCTGGATCAAGTCTCTCTCGCGGGGAGTGGCACCTCAAAATGAGCTCTGTGTTTGTCCACAAAACCCCAGACAGTTTTGGCCTAGTGAGCCCTGCCGCCGGGCATGTTATCATCTGCAGAAGTCAGCTGTTCAGGTGCCTCCCTCCACGTGCTAACAATTATGTTTGTGTAGATGACTTCCCATCGACTGCCAGCAATCATGGCTAATAACTGGTGATGCGGAGGCCTTTCAACGAGTTCCAGAGTCGTTTGTGTCAGGAATGTTTAATGTGCTCAGATTGCCATTAAAAAAAAACTTCGCGTAAAGAGCGGATCTTCCCCTCTGCGTGAATTATACGCGGCGTGGCTGTTCGATGTGTAGTGACTGGTTGTCATTGTATGGTGCCGGGGCTTATGAAGCCACGGCGGATAATGTGCGGTGCGGGCTCCCGATGAGGGAGCGAGAGGGAGCGTCAGCCAGCCAGGGTTACCTTGGGGCATGATACGCTGGTTGACCTGCTGACACGTGACTGGATGATATTGGAGGGGGGGCACCAGTGGCCGGGGGCCGCGGGGCAGTCGCGTGATCCAAAAGAGCTCTCGGGAGCCTTCGGGAAGGAGCTCGAGAGCTCTGGAAGGTGGGCGGGGCGAAGGGCGGAGCCAGCCTCAGCCCAGGGGCATATAACGGGGGGCCCCGTGAGGAGCTCGGGGTTCTTCGTGTGCTGGTGTGAAGAAGATCCATGTTGGGGAGAAGAAGCCTCTAGCCACGCGGTCTGGGACCCAGCTTGTGGTCCGGACCGGGATAGCGAACCATGTCTAGTTCTGCCGTAACGTGGTTAGATGGGCATTCGAGACCTGAGTGTAGATCGTGTTGTGTTGCGTGCTGTTGTATAATAAATAGTGTTGCTCCCAAGATAACGTCTGCGACTTAGTTGGACTCAGTACAGATGTAACCATCAGGCTGCTTGGTGTCAACCAGACAGTCCGCTCAGTGTCATTACTGTCGAGTGTGCAGGTGGTGTAACTGCACCGGGACCCATTCCCCGGGGGATAAAAGAAGGCGGGGGTTGGGGGGAGAGGCTGAATTTGGACAGATGAGGTACATTTTTGTATTCCTTGCACCCGGGCCCACGCCAATTACCCTACGCCACTGAGTTCAATGGACTTTTTCAGTGTGCATTTATTGTATATCGGAATATGTTGAATTGCAGAAGCGTGAGAGATGGAGATGGAAAATACACTTTTTTATTTTTCTTTACCAGATAAGGCCCACTGAGCTATAAAGCTCTTTTTCAGAAGTGACCTGCCAAAAATGATAGCTCAAGGAAGTGGCTTAACACGTGGACATTTCTGGCAGCCAAATACTTCAAACACATGTTTCTAAATATGGAGGGAAAGAAAACCGGAGGACCCGGAGAAAGATCCAAACGACCACGAGGAGAACATGCAAATTCCAAATATACAGGCGTCAGGATTTGGATTGAACCCACGACCTGCTGTACACCAGGTGAAGTAATTAACATATCGCCTTCATCCAGCACTGGACTAATCATGACTGAAGGATGATGACACCGGAGAAACAAGGCATGCATGACATTATTTGTTTTCATTCGGTGTTTTTTTTTCGACGTGGCAAGATTTCGTTTTATCGGTATGGTAGGTAGGAATTGGGGTGTCATTATTTAGACCGCATCCACACTGACCCCCCACCCTGCCTTCCTCTCTGCACCAACCCCCGCTGAGAAAAAAAAATCTTTAAAATGTTCATGTCAACTCGTAGCCACGTGCGACTCGTGCGCCTTGCCGGCACTGAGTAGTTCAGGGTCTTTGGCAGCCCTTGCCCGAACCGTCCATCTACCACTGTGAAGTCCACACGGAGGGATCTTTGTCTCGAGCGTGAGACAGCGAGTCAGTCAGCCAGCCCCTGTCGACTACAGGTCACGAGGACGAAGAGCAGACAGAGCCCACGGCCATTTACTTTTCATGCCCCCTTTCATCCACACACGCCCAGATGAGAGGGCAGAAAGACAGGGGAGACGAGGGGAGAGCGAGACGCACACACAGGCACAGAGCGCGTGTTGTTGTTGGCTGGGTAATAATTATGGCGCTCGGCTCCGTGATGGCTTCAACAAAATGCCACTGCGGGTCAAGGCTTCCCGTCCGCGTCTCTCGCTGGACACATGCCTCACGTGATGTGGACTACGGCGTGGGAGGAGGTGACGAGGGGTGGAGGAGGTAGAAGATGGATGGAGGATGGTGGTGGGGGGGGGTAGGGAAATGGGGGAGGGGAGGGGTTGTAGGAGACTGGGAGATGGAAGAATAAGAATGGTGATGGAGGAGGGTTCAAGTTGGGAGGAGGTTGAGGGATAAGCGGGGACCGGGGCGGGGGGTGCGGAGGCAAGGGGGGGAGAGGCAGTGCCTTGCTTCACGAGTCCACATTACCTGCGGGATGCCTTCTGTTTGATGTCCCCACCCCATCCCCCTCTACCACCCCCCTCCGTCTCCACTCCTCCACCCCGTGGTCCAATCAGAGATGGCTTCTGAGAAGAATGGACCACTGCAGGCTTTCATCACTCAGAAGGTCACTCAGATGATTATCTGGGAGCTCGAAATTGCGGTATCTTTGTGCGACGTGGCCGAGGCGAAACCAGCTCACAACCCGCCCTGCATATTACATTTTAAATGCTATAGGCATCGGCAAGAAAATAAAAAATAGGAATAATAGAAGCAGCCTCTGCTCTTAATTTATCATGGAAAAACTTCACTAAGTCTCAACATTGTGGGGGGAGGGGGGGGGGGTGTTTATCTCGCAGTAGTTAAACCTCGATTTTCAAGGCTCCTTTAGAGGATGGTCCTGAATTGCAATGTTTAGCCAGTTCCTTTGTAAAGAGTTTGTAGTTGTACATATACATTACACGTACGTATACACCTTATATAAACATGTACACTCTTAAAGGCCAGGCACACGCCTGATATTATCATAATGCAAATTATTTATCCACGAAAGCCTGGCTGATAACACTGTGGCCTTAAACTGGAAAAAAAACACGAAATAGGTGACGTTTTGGGCAAAGGACCTTCTTTACAGCACATTAATTCTTTATTTCATAGCACGTGAA